AATTGCATTTTTTATGCTAAGTGAAAGAAGCCAGACACATTTTGTACCACTCTACTTAGAAGGACCATCTAGAATAGGCAACTCTGCAGAGACAGAAAGTAGATTAGTAGTTTCTTGCGAAAGCACAGACTCTGGGCCGAGGGTCAGACAGAATTTAGGAAGGGACTTCCAGGTTTCTGGGCTGTGCGTCTCTGTTGATGACTGATATCGGGTATCCAGGGTCTGAGATTGTGGGAAGATGGGGAGCTACTACTAATGGGTACAGGGCTTATATCGGGGTGATGGAATGTTCTGGAATTAGGCAGTTGTGACACTTGTACAAGCTAATGAATATACTAAAGCTACTGAACTTAGACTAATTGGTGACTATTATATACAAATTGTATTTCATTTGTTTTCTTTTTAGTTTTTGCTATAGGCATGTGTGTTCACCAGAGAGAAACAGAGAGAAAGTGAGGAATCACCCCACCAAGGAGAATGATCACACCACAATCTCTTTCCTCCAGTCTCCTCTGGGGATTTTTGGTCATATACACATGTCCCAACCTGTTTTCCAGGCTGCTGGGTCTGGGACTCAAACCACACAGTTGGACATGTGGAACCCAGCACCTTAACCTCCATGACACCTGCTGACCCTCCTTTATATGTGATTATATTTCAGTGAAAAACAATTAGATGATGAGAGGTCTGTCCTTGTTTTAAAACTTTTATTATTTCTATAAAAATGCCACTTTTGGGAACCAGCAGTTAGCGTAATGGCTATGTTGTTGGACTCCCACATAGTCGACCATGGTTCGCGTCCTGGACCTGGTGGCTTAAAACCCACGCCGGGCGTGCCCAAGATCCCGAGAGGAGAATGGAGGAGAAGGGATTGCGGTGTGGCCATCCCCTCTGGGGGGTGATTTCTCGCTTTCTGTCTCTCTGTCTCTCTCTGTCTGTCTGGCGAGTGCACGTGCCCTATAGTAAAAACAAACAAACAAACAAACAAAAAACTCTCAAAAAAAAATGCCACTTTTTTTTTTTTTTTTTTTTAAATAAGACAAGAGGCCAGATGGGATAGCAGTTATGTTGCTGCACTCCTACGTGGCCAACCGCAGTTTGAGTCCTGCATCTGATGGTTTGAAAATCTGATGGCTTATATGTGTGCGTGCCCAAGGAAGGAGAATGGAGGAGAAGGGATTGCAGCGTGGCCATCCCCCCTGGAGGGTGATTTCTCACTTTGTCTCTCACTGTCCTTGTCTCTCTCTTTTTTCAGCAGCACACGCACCCTAAGACAAAAACATCTTTAAAAAATTCAGCCAATACAGAAAAGCTCAGGGAAGAAAACTAAAGACCACTGTTAGCATTTTGTTTCAGAGAATAGGTTGGAAGGTCGAGGATTGAATTTGGGCAAATTACTGACATGTTTTCAAAGTACAGAGAAAAATTCAGAGCTAGTAAATGTGCAGTTATGGTTAAAAGCACAGCAAATGCTGGCTGTCGTAATCATTACATGTATTTGTGTGCATCCCAAGGTGCTTATGTTTATTGCCCATAAATAAGATTAGGCTTTATGTGTGGTTCTGTTGTCCTGACTTCTGTGGACCAACTTTTCACATAGAAACATCATTCATGCTTTAAAATGAGGAGCTGCAGAATGTTCCATTGTGGGCACATGATGGTTCTTCCTGTGGCCTCCCACTGATGGGGTCCCATTGCCTGATGGAGTCTTTTGCCGATTGAGGTTGTTTGCCCAGCACTCCTGTGGTGTTGGGACACAGCATCAACTGCCTATTGATTCTACACATGCGTTTTGGGCACCTACTGGGTGTGTGGCTGGAAACGCAGGTCCATGGTCTAAGCCTTCAGTTTAGGTGTCTGGCAAAGCAGGTCATCGCTGGGCAGAAGGGAGTCTGCTGTCCTAAAGATCAGGCAAGAATTGACACTGGAAGAGCCAAGGAGAGTTGGTGTGTCCAAGAGTTGGTTGGGGTCTGCTGAGGAGAAAGGGCGGAACAGGCTGGAGGGTTGCTGGCCTCCCTGTTGCCCTGAGGGTGTCAGAGGTCAATAGAGGAGAGAGGAAAGTGGATTCTGGCAGAGGCTTCAGACAGCTTGCCAATCCTTTACTGGCACCTTTTCCTGTCTGGGTGTGCCCTTGGGCCTCAGACCTTCCACCAGGAGCTCTTGGGAGCAATTTGCTATCATGGGGGCATGTATAATTGGGTGAGGCAGTGGTTTGCCCTTTGAGGGTCTGCCCTTTGAGGAAGCAGGTTGGTGATCCTGGGGGCTGGAGGACCTGGGGTCAACTCCTTTGGCTAACTCAGTGCCTATGAGGCATGCTCTGGGATGTCTGGACTGTCCCTCTCCCAAAAGAAGGAGGCCCCATGAAGGGCCAGGGTAGGCTTGTATGCCCACCTGGTTGTTAAAGCTGCCCTGGCATGACAAACCCTCGCATGTGCTGGCCATGGTCACCTGCCTGTTTGGCCTCCTCAACTGTCTGGCACATATGACCTAAGTAATTCTTACTGTCTCTCTCTCTCTCTCTCTGTCACTGGCCTCAGTTGTTTCCTCTGCCTCAAGGCCCCAACCCCAGCTCTTTTTATAGTTCTAAGATGCCTTCCTTGAGCTTCCCTAGATGATCTGATGCAACCTGGCAGTCTGTGTTATTTCTGCTTCTCCGAAGGCTTGGCACAGGCCATGAGGAGGTTTGATTGCCAGTCACCTCAAGCTAGCATCCCCAACACCTCCTGGGCTGCTCTCCGGATCTCAGCTGCAGTCAGGATTGCTCCTTGGATGGGCTGGACAACTTCTATACCAGTGAGCCCTCTGCCTGTCCAAGGTCCACATCATCAGTGGCTTTCTCAGGGGTCCAGTGGGCTGGAGACAAGGCCCTAGGCTGTAGCCCCAGGATGCACCGGGTCACCCCGTTTGCCTGCCTCTCAGGCTGGCTGGTCAAGCCTAGGCAACATTGCTACTTTGCCCTTTTACTTCTGTGGTCAGCGAGTCAGCATCTAATGACCCAGCCCAGTGCTCTCCTCTGTCTTGGATGTCTCAATTTCCAGTTCTAGGCCAAGGGTTTTTGAATTTTAGATCCTCCGAGACTCTTCCAAGGTTTGTTCCCAGTTTGCTGGGAACTGATCAGGCGGCCCCAGTGCCGGGTGAGTTTGAGCTGAGGATGGGCTTGGCCTGCAGACCTGGCCCTCCACCTCTGCTGACATATCCCTCTAACAACCGCTCCCCTGTCCCTGGGCAGCTCCTTGTCTCACCTCTCCCTGTGAAGCTGCATGACAATTCCTGTCTTCCCCTTCCTTCTTCTCAGCAGACATTCCCCTTGGATTTTTCCCAGCAGACTTTCCTTCCTGGCCCCGTCTCTCCTAGGAATGCTGCAGTGGAATGACCTGCCTACCGCAGGGCCCTCTTTTCCACCTTTGTCTCCTAAGTTCATGCCATATCTGTTGTGGCTTGTTTCTGCGCTGCTATACCAGAATACTCCAGATGGGTCATTTCTGAAGTGTATCAGCTCATGCTTCTGGAGGCTGGGAAGTCCAAGATCAAAGAGCTAGCATTTGGCTAGAACCTTCTTGCTGTGTCATCCCATGGCAAAAGGGCAAAGAGAGAGTGAGACTGGGGTGCAGGGTAGGGGCACAGCTCTGTGAGGCTGACCCACATGGGGAGGTTCTGGGTTTGCATCCAGAGACTTCCTGCCAAGTATGCCAGGTGTGTTTGTGCTTGCGATCTGGGCCGGCTGAGGCCGCAGGTGGATGGCGGCATCAGGCCCCTGGGGATGCTCTCCCTGTTTCTTCTTCTGTCTCTCTCACACATGGAAGAAATAAATGGATGAACTTGGGCGGGGGGGGGGGGGGACGGGCAAAATGTAAATCAGATCAAATAGTAGCCTCAAGCTCTTTTATAAGCAGCAGTAATCCATTCGTGAGGGTGGAGCCCTCATGACCTAAACACCTTCCCTTAGGCCCCACTTCCTAACCCTTGCACTGGGAATTAAGTTGCTGACACATGTCTTTTGTGGCACACGGTCAAACTGGAGCGAAGCCAGGTTTTGTAGGATGCTTGACATTACCTGCTAAGTGACTTCTTTAGACCTGGGATTTAAGCTGGTGCCCCATAAGCTCAGTAGAATCTGGTTGGGTGTTTGTTCGCTTAGTGCAGTGCTTAGAGAACTTTCCCCCATTCCTTTAGATGTGGCCGGGGCTTGCCAGTTCCTCACAGGTGTGCCCACCATTCCTTGTTACTGTACACCTGCCCAGCTTCCCATGTCCTGTATGCTAGCTACCTGCCCCTTTGACTTTCTAAGCTCTGCCTTTATAAGGGCAGGGACCTACCTGCTTATCTGACTACAGGATCCACAGCACAAAGCGTATCAGATAGTGCCTCAATAAATGTATTTGGTTGAGTGAACATTTCCTCCTTCTTTAAAAGTCTTTGGTTAGAGGTGCCAAGTGGTAAGCAGGTGGTAAAATGTGATGCTCTGTGAGGCTGACTCACAAGGGAAGGTTCCAAGTTCAAGTCCAAGGGCATCCCTGAGTACACTAGGCACAAGTGTGTCCATGATCTGGGCCTGAAGGCTGGAGGTGGACTGTGGTTTCAAGACCCTGTTGGAGGTACTGTCTCTTGCTTTCTGTATTTCTCTCTTCCTGTCTCTCTCACTCATGGAGAAGGTAAAAACAAAACAAAACAAAACTTAAATTTTTAGTGAAATATATTGAGCAAAAACAAAGTACAGAGCAGTTTGTTTAACATGAGGAAAAATAATCATGATTGTCAGTACGTAGAGTCTCTCTGGAAGGATTCATACAAACTTGGTTAAGAGTGGATGTCTCTCGACAAGGGAGCTGGGTGGCTAGAGGATGAAGTGGATGTAGGATACTCTTTACTCCTTCTGAATTTAATTTTAATTTAACAACATTGGAATTTCAATAATAAAGGATTGACCTCATTTAAAAGATCTGTTCATTGGCATTGGGGCCTCTTGCTGTGGGCTTGTCCCTGCACTTGCAGCCCCCAGACTCTGAGTGGTCTCCTCTCCCTTCCCAGCAGTGCCTGGTTGGAGATGGGGTCCCAGGTCTCAGTGGACACGGGTGCACTGCATGTGGTGATCGTGGGCGGGGGCTTCGGTGGGATCGCGGCGGCCAGCCAGCTGCAGACGCTGAACGTGCCCTTCATGCTGGTGGACATGAAGGACTCCTTCCACCACAACGTGGCAGCGCTCCGGGCTTCTGTGGAGAGTGGTATGTGCTGCTTTTGGGGCTGTCTCTGTCAGAATGGTCTTGTCACCACTGTGGGTCCCGATTTCTGGACTGGGCATGGTTTCCTCCACTTAGGGTCAGGTGTCTGAATTCCACCAGCCAACACTTTCTGGAGCCCCTCAAGATCGCTGGTGTTATGCAACTATCATAACGAGGCCCCAGAAGTTAGAATTCAAGCTTTTCTGAGGACTTGAGCCCAGATTGGCACCATAGGGTTGGGGGGCTCCAGGTAATCTGCTGGTCCAGCTCTTTGACTGAGGGTGCCTCCCTTGGTATGCAGCTAGGGAAAGGTCATGAGTTACTCTAGCTTTCTGTGGTAGCCATTTCTGCACTGTGACCTCTTCTCTTTCTATTCCCCCAGGGTTTGCCAAAAAGACTTTCATCTCCTACTCTGTGACCTTCAAGGACAATTTCCGGCAGGGCTTGGTGGTGGGGATAGACCTGAAGAATCAGACGGTGTTGCTGCAGAGTGGCGAGGTGAACATGGTGGGGCTGGCCATCCTCAACTGGCTGCAGGACATCCCACGTAGGGCCTGGGATGTCTCCTGTAGGGTCAGAGTACCATTTGTGACCACTAAGTCCCACCTGGTGCTGGGCAGAGAGCCAATTCTTCTTAAACAAAGGTCTGAACACAACAACCACAAGAACAGGGTGGCAGATACTTCTTGAGTTGTTCCTGCATGCCAGGCACTGTCCTAAGCCTTTATATCAATATCATTTTGGGTTCACCAGGACTCAGTGAGGTGGGTAGTGTAGCCTCCCTTTGCTTGCTTAAGATCTCACAGCAGGTGAGATACTAAGTCAGGATTTGAACCCAGGCAGTTTCAGCCCAGAGCTCACCCCTGAAAGCCAGAATCCCAGATGAGTTCCAGACCTGGCCAGCCTACAGGGGCCCTCTTCACTGTCTAGAGTCAAAGTTAGGTACAAACATGGCCTGTACCCCTGGACCGAGAAGTCACCGAGGGTGGAGGTCCTCTGTCACTTGTCTTAGTGTTCCTCTTCCCCCATGCAGACAGCTTGGTGCCTGCTGTGTACCTTCAGTGATGAGCTCCATGGATGAGCTGCCGTCAGCCCACACGTCAGTTCAGCTCCCGACTGAGCACACACGGCTGAGGGTGGGGGAGGATATTGAAAAAGGACATACAATCCCTGTCTGCAATGAGCACGTGACTTAGTGTGAACCAGTCCTCCTTGAGTCAGTGTTAGGGTTGGAGAATCTCCTGGTTGGAAGGGTTACTGAGTGCCTCCTCTTCTTGGGGTTTTGCGCCATGCTTTTCAGAGCTCTGGATAGTCCATGGGGGCATCTTAGGGCTACAGGGAGGAAGTGGAGGCCGAGGAGAGTCCAGATCCTCTGGTCTCCCATCCTTTGGAGGAGCTCTGTTTTAGTCAGTGTTATATATTAGGCTCCAAACAAGATTTTTCTTTCTTCCTTCCTTTTTTCCTCTCCCTTCCTTCCTTTCTCCCTTCCCTCCTTTTGCCCTCCCTTCTTCCCTCCCTGCTCCCTCCCTCCCTTCCTTCCTTCCTTCCTTCCTTCCTTCCTTCCTCTATTTCTCTCACCCCACCCCTTCCCTTCCTTTTCTTTATTTGGTGGAGGTAGGAGGGTTATTCTGAAACACCCCTGAAGTTCCCAGCTAGCTCCACATGGGGAGCTAGGATCCAGTTTAGGCTGGCCACTCCGGGGGCAGTTTGCTTTCCTTCGGGAGCTGCCTCCTGCTGTGGAGAGCTCACCCTCCCATTTCAGTGTTGGATGGCGCTGGTTGCCCAGACCTTCTTCAGGCAGGAGGTGAAGCTGCTTCCTTTAGGTATTTCCCTGGTTCTGGTGCCATCACTCAGCCTAACAAGTTTGGCAATTTTTCTCCTCTCAAATGGCTGCCTCGGTGCACCCCGGGAGGGCCTCCTCCACCTGGTGCTCCTTGACTGATGAGGGCCTGGGGTTGGAAGCAGAAGCCCAGGCCTCCCCACCCTGTCCTACCTTCATCTTCCTTCTGTCTCTCACAGGCCCTGCCCTTCTCACATCTGATTCTAGCCACCGGCAGCACCGGGCCCTTTCCTGGCAAATTTAATGAGGTTTCTAGCCAGCAGGCCGCCATCCAGGCCTATGAGGACATGGTGAGACAGGTGAGCCGCCTGCTGATGGGCGCGAGACAGGGACAGCAGGCTGGGAGACAGCTCTGGTGTTGCTGGGCTGTAGTACAGAGACTCCCTAGGAGGGCTTCAGAGCTGCTGACAGCAACCGTGGGGTGCGAGAGCACTAGGGAGAGACCTTCCTGGGAGGTGACCTTGGACCTGTCATGTTGCACTGGCTCATCTCTGGGGACCCTTCATGTCCGTAGCTCCTCCCTTGCTTTAGGGTTCGGTGTCCTGTAGAGCAGGCCTACACCAGCGGCCTGTCAGTTTTCACGGAAACTCTGAGAGGCTGGGAGGAAGCACACTTGAACTCTAGATTTGGGAAGGTTCTCTGCCCTTCCTTGGCCAAGGATCCTGCACCGTAGGCTGAGCCAACAGATGGGTGGTGTACAGGTGTGTTTTACATCTCCTCCAGGTCCAGCGCTCACAGTTCATCGTGGTAGTGGGAGGAGGCTCTGCGGGAGTGGAGATGGCAGCAGAGATCAAAACGGAGTACCCCGAGAAAGAGGTGAGACAGCTGCCTTGGCTTTGGACCCTAAGTACTTGGCTTCTCCTAGCTAACAAACACCAGGAATCTGGAACCACAGATGGCATAATGATTACATCACTAGTTGCAGTTCGTGTCCCAGACCCGACATCTTAAAACTCATGCCAGACATGTGTGCGCGCGGGTCCAAAATCCATAGGAGGGGAATGGAGGAGAAAGGATTGCGGTGTGGCCAACTCCCCTGGCGGGTGATTTTTCGATTTCTGTCTCAGTCTCTCCAGTGAGCACATGCGGCCTATAACAAAAATTCCTCTAAAAAAAAGAATGTGTTTGGGGCCCGGGATGCTAGAGCTTCACTCACATCAACAGGGAGCACGTTTCCCATCTTGTGCCAAAGTGGGATTCTGTGGGGGTTTCCCCGAGAAAGCCAGGATCTTGCAGCACCTGGTGACATGGTGCTGCTCAGGGTATGTCCTCATCCAGCACGTGCTCCTGCCCTCTGGGCCATCCAGGAGATTCAGGCCCAGGGAGGGACCTTATGAAAGTGTCTCCTTCGTTATAGAAATGTAGACTTCGATGATCTTTTCTTTACTTGCTGACAATCAGCTTGGACAAAGACACCCTCAGTTGGCTTTTTGGGTCCTTGTGGGGACAGCCAGGTTGGGAGTTCAGCCCTTGACCGGCTGTGTTGATGAACAGCTGACCAGGAGTGCCTTCTGCACACAGGAAGGTGCAGTGTACATAGACCTGCTCTCATCTTTTATTTATTTTTTTTATTAGAGAGATTTTTGCTGTAGGTCGCATACACCTGCCAAAGAGACAGAAAGAAAGTGAGAAATCACCCCTGGGGGGGATGGCCATGCCACATTCCCTTCTTTTCCATTCTCCTCTTGGGATCTTGGGCATGCTCCCAGTGTGACCCCAGACACACCCCACCTGGACCTCAGTTTTCTTATCTGTCAAATAGGTGGATAAGACTATGGCAGGATTTAACAGCACCATGAACACCTAGGGCTGGATCATTCTTGTTGTGGAAGGGCTGTCATCTCCCCTGGGGGACATTTACAGCATCCCCAGGCCCTACCCACTAGATGCCAGTAGCTGTCTCTTCTCCAGTCTTAACGACTCAAGCATCTCTAGACCTGGCCAAACATCTCCTGTGATGAGGGACAGCACCACCCAGCAGAGTGCATAGACCAGTGGTTAGACCAGTGGCTTTCAGTTCTGGGTCCATTTTAGGATACTTGATGGTAGTTTTATTTGTAAATGTTTGAGGAAACTCCATATTGTTTTCCACAGTGTCTGTACTCATTTACATTCCCCATGTTCATGTGATTTCAGTGTATCTTAACACACTGAAAGCTTCAGCCCCCTCACAGACATGCACTGTGCATCGTGCTAGGCACAGCGGTGTAAAGGTGAACAAGGCCCTGTCTTCCATGCCCTGTTCTCTTCTAGTGCTCGAGGAATAGAGAACCTGCCTGGCAGCCAGGAGAGAAAGGGGAAATCCCGGCAGGCGACACAGGCCTGGCAAGGGCTGGGTGATGGTCATCGTTATGGGTCCTCTAGACCAGACTGTTTGCAGCTGGTGCCAGATCCACCTCTGAGAACCACACAGAGCCCCTTTTTGGCTCTTTTTTCCCTAGGGAAAAGCAGATTAATTTTCAAAAGGAAAATCAATATGGACTCATTTAATTACATGGATGTTTCTTGAAGAAAGATTGTTGAAAATTATTATGAATAATTGATATAAAGCTTGTTCATTTTGATCTATGAGTATGGGGAAAAACTAGCCTTTTTCTCTATACCCACATTCACATTTCTTTGATAGATGTATGGATTTTTTTTCACTGATTTTCAACGCCGTCTGGGTGTTGAATTCAGTTCAATTCGGTTCCAACACCAACTGGAGTTAGCATGGAGGCCATGGGTCAGAGGCTCGGTCCTGCGAGACTGCTCCCATCTAGACACCAATCGCAGCTCTGTCCCACTTAGCTAGACGTCAGAGGTTCCCATGAACCTGTCTTCAGGAAGGATAATTTGCTAGAGGTTTATAGCACTCATAAAAACAATTTACTTATTATTGCTGATTTATTACAAAGGATTTTTTTAGAGAGAGAAAGTTTTGCTATAGGCTGTGTGTGTTCACCAGAGAGACAGAGAGAAAGAAGATATGAAATGACCCCCTAGAGGAGATGCTGCAATCCCTTCTCCATCCTCCTCTTGGATTTTGAGCATGCACACACATGTGCCCAGCAGACTCGAACTGTGATTGGCCGTGTAGGAGTCCAGCGGCATAACCACTATGTCATCTGCTGGTTCTAAGGTTTTGTTTTTGTTTTTAGGTTTTGCCATAGGGTGCCTGCCTTTGCCAAACAGGGACAGTGAGAGGGAAAGTGAGAAATAACCCCTAGGGAGATGGCCACTTCTCAATCCCTTCTCCTCGTTCTCCCCTTGGGACTTTGGGCACACATGTACATGCATTTGGCAAGAGTTTTAAGCTGCCGGTTCAGGACTCAAACTGCGGTCAGCCATGTGGGAGTCCAGCATCTTAACCACTACAGCACCTGGTGGCCCCACAAAAGATATTTTAAAAGATACAAATGAACAGCCAGATAAGAGGTACATAGGTCAAGGTTCAGAAGAGTCCCAAACCTGGAGCTTCTGTCCCCATGGAGTTGGGGTACTCTATTCTCTTGGCATGTGGACATGCCCACCAACCTGGGAGCTCTCTGAACCCCATTCTTTCGAGGTCTGTATGGAGTCTTTATCACATAGGAATGACGGGATTATCATCTTAGTCTCCAGCTTTTCTCCCCTTGCTGAAGGACGGGGCTTAGAACGGAGAGTTCTAAGCATCTATTGGGGTTGTCGGAAAAGTCATGACACATTTTTGCATAGAAAAATGCATTATGACTTTTTTGATAACCCAGTGGTCATGGCTTGATCTTTCTGGTGACCAGGTCCCACCCTGAAGTTATCCAGGAGCCCACCAAGAGTCTCCTCATTGGAACAAAAGGTGCTCCTGTCACCCAGGAAATTCTAAGGAACTTAGGAGCTGTGTCACATATTCCTGTCACTCAGGTGCTCCGTGTCAGAATCTGGGCCAAAGGCTAAATACTAGAATAAATGATTCTCCTTAGCACCCCTATCTATACTTAAAAAAGTTTTTTTTGTTTGCACGTGCATTGGCCAGAGAGACAGAGAAAGAAATGAGAAAGCACCCCCATGGGGGACAGTCATGCTGTCATCTTTTCTTCTTATTTATCTTTTCAAGATTTTGGGCATGCATGCACATGCATCCAGCATGGTTTTCAAGCGGCTGGGTCTAGGACTCTGCACAGTCGACCGTGTGCAGTCCAGCTGCCTTAACCACTATGTCACCTGGTAGCTCACTATAAGGGTTTTAGGAGCTATGTTAGGAACCAGGGACAGATCTCTCTCTCTCTCTCTCTCTCTATATATATATATGTGTGTGTGTGTGTGTGTGTGTGTGTGTGTGTGTACATATATATGTACACATGTGTGTGTGTGTATTTATTCTTATTTCATAGGGGCAAAGATCAGTCTGAAATAGTAATAAGGTCAGGTAACTCAGTGAGAACCATTTATTTACAGTTAGATAAGTAAGAGTAGTGTAGCAGTCATACTTTCTTAAGGACTTAATATGTGTCTGAAATAATAATAAGGTCAGGTAACTCAGTGAGAAATAACCATTTATTTACAGTTAGATAAGTAAGAGTAGTGTAGCAGTCATACTTTCTTAAGGACTTAATATGTGCTGAGTTAGGTGCTTTGTACATAGTTTCTCATTCATCATTTCAAAACTATGAGCGGAGCTGTTGTACCCATTTTACTGAGTCTTCTGGAGATGTCTGGGTGTAAGCAATGGGGTTTCAGCCTGGGGGTCAGTGTGATTTCAAAGCCCAGGCTTTGAGCTAGATTGCAGGCTGCCTCCCACTTCCTGTGCTGACCTATTCAGCAGTACACGTGTCCAGAGGCGCTTCATTTAGAACCAGCTTCAATGTCAACATCAGCCTGATTTATAGTTGGGATGCCAATGGCCTCTCTCTCTATATATATTTATCATATAATTGTAAGTGCCCAATGATGCTTGGAAATCCTTTTCCAGCTCATGCTAGGTAAGGCAGGGGTTGTGGAGTTGTGGGACACTGGGGGTCCTCTGGTTCAGGGTGAGGGGGAGACTAAAGGGGAGATGTGGGCTGGGCCCAGCTCAGCACTACTTGGTTTCAGCATTGGGCAGGTTGCTTCTCTGGGGCCTGTTTCCTCATTTGTAAACTTGAGTCAAGGGAGCAGGTAGGTGTTCATGTGAGTAGTTTGGGCTCCTTCTCAGGCCCTGTGGTCATTTGTCTCCAGGTCACCCTCATTCATTCCCAAGTACCCCTGGCTGACAAAGAGCTCCTGCCCTGTGTCCGGCAGGAAGTGAAGGAGATCCTCCTCCGGAAGGGCGTGCAGCTGCTGCTGAGTATGTGTAACTTGTTCTCCCTGCCCCACACCCCTGGCCTGGGGAGGTGGGCTTGCAGGCTTGGTCTCCAGCTTGGTAAGGCCCACCCCAGGCTCTCTCTACCCACCGCCTCCTGGGGTTGAGCCTGAAGAGGTCTTCCACCTCAAGGCCCACTAGAGCCTGGCCCAGTGGGAGGGTCTGTCCTCAGGCAGGACAGGGGCCCTGGGACTCACAGGATTTCCGTGTGGAGGCAGTGATGCCTCAGCCATTGTGTTGAACAAAGGTTTTGCCCTGAACTACGATGTTCTGTAGTAGAGGGAATAAGTTTATTTGTTGTGTTTGGAGAGTGGTGAGGAGTGTAGCTTTTGTCCAGAGCAGGAGGAAGGGAGACCCTCTCCGTATTTTAGAAGTGGGCCTCTAGCCCCAGTGGTGCAACTCCCACACTTCACAACACTAGGCTTCCTCTTTTTTAAAAAAAGTTTACTTCACTTTTTTCCCCATAAGTGAGTGACACAGAAAGGAAGAGAGTGACAGAGACAGGCATCCCAACAAGGTATTCACACTGTGATCCACCATGTACCGTTCCTGGTACATGTGTGCCCCGTGTGTTTGCGGAGGTCTCTGGATGCAAACCCAGAACTTCCGATATGGGTCAGAGCATTGCGTTACTGCTGTACCACCACCCATCCAGTCCCTCCCCATTTTTTGTAGGGAGGGGATGGGGCATCTGCTCTATGTAGGTCCCTGGCAGCTGTCACAGCCCCTTTTGATGACTGGCTATGGAGTACTGTCATCCCCTTTACTTTCAGGCAGTGAGTATGGGAAACTGACTCCTCTGGCTTTTCTTGCTTTCACCTTTGCTGGTGGCATTGAGTCAACCACAGAAAAGGTGAAAGCAAGACCACTTAACTAGGTCCTTCCTGCCTAGTTAAGATGGTATAGCTGACATTCACAGAGGTATGTTGAGGTTTTCCAGTGAAAAGCTTTTCCCAGAACTTCTTGACAAACTCAGTATTGCTTCTTTCCTGTGGCCTCCTAGAACTGTCTTCTAGTTGGATCCCTTGGGGCCAGATGTCCAGACTGGGGCAGCAGAGTAGACTGAGGGCAGAGTATGGTGGGAAGATGGGAGTGGAGCAATTGGGCCACCATGACCTGGGCCTTCCCCAGGACCAGCATTGACCTGGGTCCTGCTCAATGAGGTACCAACCCTTTGCTGGCCTCCTGGTCATCGAACCCCCCCCCTTGACAGGTGAGCGGGTGATCAACCTGGAGCAGCTGCCTCTCAATGAGTATCGAGAGTACATCAAAGTGCAGACGGACAAAGGCACGGAGGTGGCCACCAACCTGGTGCTTCTCTGCAATGGTATCAAGGTCAACAGCTCTGCCTACCGGGATGCATTTGGTGAGCAGGGGCCTCTCTGGGGCCTTCTCAGGCTGCCTCCCCCCACCCCATTCTCCAGCACTCTCTGAGAATACCCGGCAGCTATTGCCTCCAGCAACCAAAACCTGCCCCCTTTCCCTCTTTACCCCAGCATGCTCTCTTCTGATTGGTGACATTGAACGGTAAATTTGAGTTAGGGTTCATTCTTGCTGAGCTTTCCTCAGCTGTGATGGTGCCTTAGCTCAAGATGACCAAGGAGACCAGAATCTTCTAAAATCAGGACTATCCCTGGTGGTAAAGGTAGGAACAGGTTTCATAGCAATGAGGATCTGTGTTGTGTTACTTTCCTTCTTTCCTGGATGCACAGGAAATTTGGGGTCAGGCTGCTCTCTCCAAATCCAGATTCAAACATTTGGCCATTTGTACTTGGAATGACCATGTGGGGAGTGAGGGCAATAATAGGGCCTCTTTTCTTTCCTTCCTTCCTTCTTTCCTTCCTTCCTTTTCCCTCCCTCCCTCTCTCTCTTTTTATTGCCAGAGAGTGTGTTTACACTCTGTTTCTTACAGAAACAGAGAAAGACGGAAAGGGAGAAAGCAACCCCCAATGTGGCATGGTCACACCTCAATCCCTTCTCCATTTCATCCTGTCGGGATTTGGAGTATGCATGCACATGTACCTGGACTGTGTTTCAGGCTGCTGGGGCCAGGATTCAGACCATGGTAGGCCATGTGAGATCCGCCTCCCTTAGCCACTAGGCCACAAGGCCGGCCCCTAGTCTCCTATTTAAAACTCAGTGTTTAGGGCCAGCAGGTGATGTGGTTAAGGCCCTCGACTCCCATATGGCCAACTGTGGTTTGAGTCCTGGACTTGGCAGCTTGCTTTCTCACTTTCTCTTTTTCTCTGTCTCATTGGCCAAATTAAAAATAATAATAATAATAACAAATGGAATTAAATAAATAAATATTTCTTTAAAAAATAAAAAATTCAATGTTTAACTAGCTAATGAAATGTGAGGTGGTACACTGATATGTATCTGAGCCTCTGTGTGTGAATGGGAGACTCCGTGGCCAGCCTCTGTGGTTGCTGAGTCATCACACCCCCATCACTCACTCCCTTTCCCAACATGGGGCTCCTGTGTCCAGTAGGAGGTAATTATCCAATCCCAGAAGAAGGAAGCCAGTCCAGACTTACTGTGGGGTGGGAGTGTGAGCTTATAATGGACAGAAGTCCCAGAATCCAGAACCTAATTGTCTTTATGTTGTATTTTCAAAGATAAATTTGTTTAAATTCTCTTTTAAAGGGACCAGCAGGTGACTTGGTGGTTAAGGGCACTGGACTTCCACATGGCTGACCATGGTTGGAGTCCTGGACCTGGCAGCTTGCTTTCTTACTTATCTTCTTTCTCACTCTGTCCTCTAGTCGAATTAAAATGAAATAAATAAATAAATTTAAATAAAATAATTCTCAAAAAAAGTTTTTTTTTAAAAAAAACTGATCTATGTTCAAAAGGAAATTAAAGTCATTACACTAATCATTACATTTTTAAAAATAATTATTTATTTTAATTTTATTTATTATTCTTATTCATTATAATTTGCTATCAGGTACATGTGCTTACCAAAGAGAAATAGGAGAAAGAGAGGGAGAGGGAGAAAGCAAGCTGCCGGGTCTGGGACTCAAACCATGATTGACCATGTGGGAGTCCAGTTCCTTAACCGCTACCCCAACTTGCAGCCCTATGTTATACATGTCAAAAGACACTTGCTGGTATTTTGATCCGTGTCCACTCAGGAACCAGTAGCCTTACCTTTGCTGAAAGACTGCTGAGATGGGGACTTCCGGCAGGAATAGATGAGGTGGGACGATTGACTATTAGCTTGTACCTTTGAAGGTGACTCACCCAGCACCCAGAGCTATCCTCACCTCTTTCAGTGGCTGGCGAGCACGGCAGCTTAGGGCCTTGGTCCTGGTCTTGTTCTGTCTGGCAGAGAATAGACTGGCCAGCAATGGTGCTCTGAGAGTGAACGAGTACCTCCAGGTGGAGGGCTATAGCAACGTCTACGCCATTGGTGACTGTGCCGACGTGCGGGAGCCCAAGATGGCCTATCATGCTGGCCTCCATGCCAACGTTGCTGTCACCAACATCGTCAACTCCATGAAACAGAGGCCCCTGAAGGCCTACAAGCCAGGTAAGGGAAGCCCCATGGACTTCATAGTTTTAAGAGTTAAAGGGTGTAAAAAAAAAAGGCATTAAAAGGTTAGATATGGGGAAGATAATTTGGGCTAAGATGACTGACCCTGGGCTGACCCCGCGGCCTAGTTGTTAAGGGAGCCGGATTCAGCATGACTGCATGATTCAAATCCCAGCCCTGCCAGCTTGGAAAACATACCAGGCACATTCTGATAGGATGGAGAATGGAGGGGAAGGGAGTACGGTGTGACCATGCTCCATTGCCGGGGTGCTTTTCCTCCTTCCCTCCTTCTCTGGTGAGTGCACACGCCCTGTGGTAAATTTAAAAAAAGAAAAAAAAAAAAAAAGATAACTGCCCCCTAGAATGAACTCAAAGCTGGTGACAGAAACATCCCCCTAGAGCTCTTTTTTAGAGAGATTTTTGCTATAGGACACATGTGCTTGCCGGAGAGACAGAGACAAAGTGACAAATCACCTTCCCCACCATGAGGGATATCCACATTGCAATCCTTTCTCCTTCATTACCCTCTTGGAATTTTGGGAACATACACACATGCACCCAGCCGGGTCCAGGACTCGAACCATGGTTGACTATGTGGGAGTCCGGCAATGTAACCCATTATGCCATCTGCTGGTCCCTTCCCTAGAGCTCTTTAAAAGTAAATCAGGACTTCCTCATCTTCCTCAAAGTCCTGAGCCAGACCTTGGGAGGAGTTTGCGCCCTGGGATTGTAGGCCAGGATGCCATATGGGGTGCTATTGGTGTTTGTCTCTGCCTGCAGGTGCGCTGACCTTCCTCCTGTCCATGGGGAGGAATGACGGTGTGGGCCAGATCAGTGGCTTCTACGTGGGTCGGCTCATGGTTCGGCTGGCCAAGAGCCGGGACCTGTTCGTCTCCACAAGCTGGAAGACCATGAGGCAGTCCCCACCCTGATGAGGAGGCCTGGTCGAGACCAGGTGCCATTGTAGGTGGTGAATGGACTGCTTGCCAGAGGGCACCACCTGGCAGTGCCGGGGGGGCAGAAGCTCTCTTCTAGAGTAAGAGGCCAACGACGTAGTGACTGGATACTGGATACACAACTGTAAAACTAAAAGTGGGAGGGGGGAGGGGATAGAAAGAAGGAGAGGAAGATTAAAAAAAAAAAAAGACAGCCCCCAGGGCATTTTCCCCTGGGTTGCAAAGATGTGTTTGCAGCTGTGGGGTGTGGGATGTTAGCTGGATGGTCCTGAGGAGGCACAGCTGGCCTTCTGCACCCCAGGCTGCTCGGATGTGTATGTGCGCGCATTTGTGTACCTGGGCCGGGGACATTTGGAGGTCTCAGAGGGCAGAGAGCGGGGCTCTGGGTGGCCTCCATCAGTGGAAGGAGGCAAAGTCTGAAAGCAATACCCCTGAGTCTGGGGAGCCGGGGTGGAAATGGCCTGCACTCCGAACCTCTCCCCTCACCTCCAGGGTGGGGAAACCATGTCTCCTCCAGCAGCCAGGTTGTTAATAGCAGCCCAGTTCCGAACTCCCTTACTCAGGGTTCGTCCTTAATATTCTTTTAATCTTCGCAGACCTTTCCACATTTCTATTGTTAGATCCTAACTGTATATCATAGGTTCCATTTAAGACGAATCAAAGTTTCCCTCCTTGTGGCCATCCTCAGATTGTGAGGTTCTATAAAGCTAACGGGTAAGACTAAAGTCTGGCCTGCCAGCCTTGGAGGCATTAAAGCAGCATCCGAGAGACCAGGCTCCTTGGTATTGGGTCGCCTGCAGGAGACAGAGGGGCATTCAGCACTGTATCTCCAGGTCATTGTCATGGGCATACTTGTAAGTGACAAAATCCTAGCTGATGCTGTGGTAAGAAGCAGGGTCTGGAGGGACTTCATGCTTCTGATTTGTTGGCTACCCAGTGTCATTTTCCGGAGTCCTAGCTATGTGGCAGTCATGTGCACCACCAACTGACCTTCTGATAGGGAGAAGCCTGTTCTGGATCACCTGGTTTGAATCTCCATGGCAGAAGTGGTTGCTGAGTTCGTCTGAACAGATACAGGCCCTGACTGCCCTGCCCTCATCTTCCTACTCCCCCGCCAGCTTTTGATGGTGGACCCTGGGTATCTGGACAGTCTTCAGGACACCAGCTTCACTGGGGTCCTCAGCCTATCCCCTGTCTAGGCTGTGGCCCCCTGTCTGGGCTGTGACCCCTAAGTCTGGGCCATTGTGTCGCTTAGGCCTAAGTGAGAATATACCTTCTTCCCAGAGCATGGTTACCCCTCCTGTACCTTTTTATCCAAGGCTTTGTTCTTCGGGACGTGTCTATAGGCCCGCCCCTCCCAGGAGCAGGACCTGCGGCCTGAGAAACAGGCCTTGGTGCTGTCCGACTTGGGGCCCGGCATGGCGGGAATCTCAGCCCGCTAGCAGCAGCAGGCTTTGTTCTAGTGACTTCTGACAGTCTAGAGGTAGCCATTCCCGGGGTCATGGATTTCCAAAGTAAAAATGCAATAAAAGAGTATGTTGTAAGAAAGACACTGGATCTTTTATTTTTTCCTCTCATTTTCTTTTTCTTTAAAAAAACAAAACAAAAGCCTGAAGCAAAAACTTTGTAGGAGTAGTTACAATATTACAGAGGAGTGGGGGGCACCAAACAAAGAGAAAAGCACCAGTGAGCCGTCTTTTCCTTCTTCTCCTCACCGTAGAACACAGACCACCGACAGAGCCCGAGCCCCTTTTATGCCCTCTTCCCTTGGAAAAAGGAGGAACAGAAGATATAAGAATTTTAAAAGGATTATTATTTTTTGTGTGGTGTGTGTGTAAAAGTCAATGCTATACATCTAAAATGAGGTCTGTTTTTTTCTTAAAAAGTTCTAAAACAACAGGAAGGAAACACATGGAAAGAAACCCCTGGTGGAGACCTGCTTAATTACAGACTGAGGCTCTTTTGATGAGGATATAAAATACAGAGGGCTCCTTCCCTGGGCAGGACCTGCTCCCGCAGCCTCTGCTACCCGCTTCCCTTTCAGCCGCCCTCCACTCCCCTGCAGTCACCCTCCTGCTCTCCTTGTGAAAAATAAAACCCCACTCTTGTGACTTCGTGCCTCTGACCGCTGCCGGGAAGCACCGGCTACTTGGCATCCAGCTTGGCCATCTCCTGCACGTAGATGCCGATGCTCTCGCTGTCGAAGAGCAGGAAGTACACGTTCTTCAGCGAGGACGCGCTCGAGTCATCGAAGTGGGCCGAGATGGCTTTGAGGGTCACCTGGGCTGCTGTCTGTTTGGGAAAGCAGTTTCTGTCCCAAAGCAAAAAGAAGATCCAGCATCATTTTGGTCCCTGGAACAAACCCACGGAAGTAACTCTCCCCTCAGCCTAGGAGGACAACGTGACTCCATACTTTGGACCTCAGCCCTTGCTTTGACTGCATGGGGGCCTCAGCGTGTGCAAGGCTGGTCCACTATGGTCTACCTTGACCTTAGTCACAGGGACAGCCCGGAAAGAGGCGGGCAGGGGATGTGGCATCACACTGACTCAGAGGCACTGTGGTTTTAGCCAACATCACAGGGCTGGCTGTGACCTATATCTGAATCTGTGCCCTGTATTTGAATTTGTGTTCCCTGACTCAAGTCGAGCTAGCAATTCAGCATTTAATAGGTCTTCAAAAACAACTCTAGGGGACAGCAGGTGGTATAGTGGTTAAGGTACTGGACTCCCATGTGGTCAGCCACTGTTTTAGTCCTGGACCCTTTGACTTGAAACTCATGCCCAGCATGTGTGCATGTGTACCCAAAATCCCGAGAAGAGGATGGAGGAGTAGGGATTGTGGTGTGGCCATTCTCCTTAGGTGATTTCTTGCTTTCTCTCTCTCTCTCTCTCTCTCTCTCTCCAGTGAGCACATGTATCCTATAGCAAAAATCTCTCTCTAAAAAAAAAGGGAACTCAAGGTTTAATTAGCTCCCTCAGTACTGGTTTCCATGTCACCCAGATAGTTTATTAAAGGGCAAAAATGTATGCTCAAAAGCTCATCTTCATAATTCCTTTTTCATGCACTTCATATTTCTTGCATTAATTCATTTGGACATACCAGTGTCATTTCAGCAGCAGTGACTGAGCAGGACTGGGTTGGTGAAAGTTTGCCAAGGTCCCCCAGCTCCAGAGAACCATTGATAGTGCTGTTAACCAGGCTGGGCCATGACACCAGCCCTCAGGACAGCCGTAGTAGTCACTTGGGGTCAGCCACCAAGACCTTGAGGAAGGTCCAAGATGGGCCACCTAATATGAATTCTCGCTTTCACATGAAGGTTCCAGAACATCACTGCCTGTGGTCCCACCAGTGAAAGAAAGCTCACCCCACAGTGCCCCTGGGCTGGCCTGTGAAGACCCAGCTCTGCTTGCCTAAGATGAGATAGGATAACGAGAGAAGCCCAGCTTCATTATTTCCTGCGTAGCCTCCCCAAGATAGCCAGAAATCATACCTGTGTTACAGAGGGCCAATCTCAAAATGAGTGAAGAGTGAGTTGCTTGGCTAGGAACATGATAGGAGTGGACGTTCTCGTTACTTATCTGAAACGATGCCCAGCTGAGGTCTGGACAAGCAGAACGATCACTGCCCCTACCCTCCTTGTAAAAGCCCTCGTGAGACCCCTTAGTCCTCTGGGTATACCCGTCAAAGCCTCAACCTCCTGGCTTGACTGTAATCCTCCGGGGATTCTGAAGCAGGACATCTGAAGTAGAGCCTGCGATTCCCGAAGTCTAACAGGTGATGTCACTGCTGCTGGTCCATAGACTACACTTTGAGTAGTGAGATTTTTTTCCCCCCAAGAATTGTTTTATTAAACTATTTATTTTAACTTGGTCATATAGGGACAGAGAGGGAGAGAGATGGAAAGTGAGAAAGCAAGCCGCCAGGTCTGGGACTTGAACTGTGGTCAGCCATATGGGAGTCCAGCACCCTTAACCACCATGTCACCTGCTGGCCACTAGTAGTGAGATTTTTGAGACTGTTTTCTGATCTTGTGCTCCAGACATGGATAGCTGGTGGGAATGTGGGCTTTGAACATGGCAGGCTCTCAAAAAATAACATACCACCTTGCTCCTGCCTCCTGTTCCTCCCCTGAAGTTACCTTTCTCCCTGGGCCTAGGAAGAGTATCAAGGAGACAGAGAAGTTGGCCCAGAAATGGGGGACCTGCTGTCCTAAAGTCCAGTGGGCCCCTTTCTCAATATTTTTTAAAATTTATTTATTTAATTTTATTTATTTATTCACCCATTTATTTTAATTTGACCAGAGAGAGAAAGAAAGTGAGAAAGCAAGCCACCAGGTCCGGGACTTGAACTGTGGTTGGCCATGTGCGAGTGTCCAACACCTTAACCACCATGCTACCTGCTGGTTCCCATTTCCATCTCCATATTTTCCTTTCTTTTTTTTTTTTTTAAATTTATTTTTCAGACAGAACCTCATACGTTGCAGGTCTTTTGAGTAACTGGGGCCTCAGGCATGTGCCACTCTCCCTGACTGTTTTTCAGATAGGGTCTCACTATGCTGCCTAGAACAGCCTTCAGCTCACTCCTCCTCCTCAGCCTCCCCGAGCTGCTGAGATTATAGGTGCATACTTCCTTGGCTGGGTTTTAGGTTGAACTGAGGGTTGAACCTGGACCTGTGTCCCAGCCTGTGACATATGGCATCTTAGCGGCAAGCACTACCACGGCTGGGCCTTTTTCAAGGATGGCAACTGGGTTTCTTGGTCTATCTCCTGGTCAACGTACTTGGCTGTGCTGGCAGCCATCAGTCATGTTTATGGGAACGGCCAGATCAGATGTGGGACAGCTGGGTCCAGGGAACGAGTGGGAAGACTCAGCTCAGCAGAACTGCCTCTTACCTGCCACTGGGGAAGGGTGGGAATGCGACGGACTTGAGCTTCTTGTCCTCGGCCGCTGACAGGCAGTTTTTGATGGTCTCTTCGAGCTGTTCTTCACATTTGTCAGAGCCCCACTGAGGGATGTGACAGTGGATGACAAATTTGGCTGCGAGTCCGCTGGATTGGCTGACAGCGGCTGAGACATGGGTGAGAGAAACACTACAGGTTAACCTCCTCGGTCTGCCTTTAGGTCCACGGGGGACAAAGAAGTGATAGTGAGGAACTATGGATACCAGCAAGCGGGATCTGTGTCGGAATTGCCTTGGACAGTCAGCCCAAGCTTTTGATAGAAGCATGTAACGCCGATGTGACAGCATGTTGCTTTCATACGTCTGCCACCTGTCCCTGGGGCTCTCTGCTCACCATGGTTCCCAGTCAAAGGAACACATCAAACTCTGGTGGCTGTGGGAGGTTGAGTAATGGCCTTCCCCAAACACCCTTGCTCTGTGGGACTGTTACACGGGAGAAGGCACTTTGCAGACATGATTAGGTTAAAAATTTGGAATTGGGCGGCCAGCAGGTGGCATGGTGGTTAAGGTGTTGAACTCTCACATGGCTGCCCATGGTTTGAGTCCTAGACCTGGTGGCTTGCTTTCTCACTTTCCCTCTCTCGCTTGCTCTCTGTTGAGTGCATGCACCCTATAGCAAATTTTAAAAATAATAACAAATAAAATTAAATAAATTATTCTTAAAAAAAATCTGGAGATGGGGCTGGCAGGTGGTGTGGTGGTTAAGATGCTGGACTCCTACATGGCCAACCATGGTTTGAGTCCCGGAACTAATGGCTTGCTTTCTCACTTTACCTCTCTCTGGCCAAATTAAAAATAATAATAAATAAAATTGAATAAATAATTCTTTAAAAAAATTCTTATGCAGTTTGGAAAAAAAGAGAGAGAGAGAGAGAGAGGGAGAAAGCACCCTCTAATGGGGTAGATTATGCCATAATTCCCTCTCCTCCACTTCTCCACGCTGCTGGAATTTTCAGGCATGCAAACACCTGTGTCTGATGTGTTTTTCAAGTCGCTGGAACTGAGATTAGAACTGCTGTCAGTTCTGTAGGATCTGGCTCCCTTAACCTCCAGGCCATGGGCTGATCCATCTTCTCAGCTTTCAGCTGTGAGCTGCACCCAGTGACCTGGGCACCTGCCCCAGGTTCCACGTGTGCCCAGCACAATCATTATTCACTCCTGAAACCTGGTTCTCCCTTCCTATCTCTCTCACTGGAGCCACCAGTCATTTTCCTCGGACTTGTCCTTCCTGGGGCTTCATTTCCACAGCTGCTCCTACCCTGGTCCAATCCAGCCTTCTAGATGGTCTCCTGGCCCCAGCCTGCTGTCTGCCAAACCAGTCTCCACGCAGTTGCTGGGGTCAAGGTCCTAAACTCCAGGTTTAAGCCAGTATCTGCAGCTGCTCCTGACTCCCAGTCCCAGGCCCGTCATGTCCTGTCCCCTTGGAGTCCATCTGTTTCTACGCCCTAGATGCCCCCTGGTGGTCCAGCCAGCCACTCTGTGCCCTGCGCACACTGGGCTCGGCTCCTCCGCTCTCCCCGACCCTCGCCCATCCTCTCCAAGCCAGTCGTGGTAGCTAATGTGCTGTTACCTAACTGCATTCCCCGCCTGGTTATAAAGTCCCCACAGGAGTGTCTGGGGCTACATTCGCACCTGTATCCTGCTGCCTCCGCCCTACAGTGCATGCGTAGGTGCATAACAAGAATGGCTTTGACCCAGATGGCATCTGCACTGGAGCCGAATGTGTTCTCTGCTGCTTCCTGAGCTCCCAGCGCAGTGTCTGGTAGGACAAGTGTCCAACTATTTATGGAATGAATGACAAATCTGCCCCCTCCCCTGTTTTTTTTTTTTTTATTAAATCATAAGGCGCACATATTTGCCTAAGAGAGTCAGAGGCAGGAGAGGGAAGTTGAGAAGTCACTCCCTGGGGAGAATGGCCATACCACAATCCCTTCTTCATTCTCCTCTTGGGATTTTGGGCACGCATGCACACATGCCCAGTGTGATTTTTAAGCTGCTGGGCTTGGGACTCAAACTGGGATTGATCATGTGGGAGTCCAGCGCCTTAACCACCATACTAACTGCTGATCCTGACAGGTCTGGTTTTCTAACTCCTGGCTCAGCTGGAAAACCCTGGACCACCCTCGACTTCCCCTACGAAACACACAGCATCGCTGCCTCTCACTTGCTCTGTTCCTGAAGTGTTTTCTTGATCTACTCTGGCCCTGCCCCACCCCTGCCTCAGGTAGGCCTGCACTATAGTTGGTCTGTTTTACCCTTGCTAAGATGCCCCCCTCCAAAAAAAAGAGAATCTTTTAATATCTTTAAAATCGTTCACATTTTACAATCACTGTCAGCCTGGACTGGAGTTGAGTTCTTCCAAAAAGAAGCTGCATTTTCTTCTCTCTCCCCTGGGGACACTACCAAACTGAGAAGTCCTACTGGCTTCTCTGCCTGAGAGGTTGAGCTGCACTGGATTCAGCTGCAAACCTGCAGGAACGCTGGCTGCTGGTTCAATTCCCTAGTGAGGCTTTTCTTCCTCCCAGCCACTCAACGCCAAGGTCAGGAACGTACTTGCTACCTTTCCATATGTGTGTTCAGGTCTTGCTTGCTCTTAGACTGAATATGTCTCAGCTCTATGTGGGGTCTCCTATTAGACACCCTATAATGAAAATTTAATGTGTCTTTTAAAAACATTTTGCTATGAAATTTTTTTTTTGTTATGGCCACATGTGCTTGCCAGAGATATGGAGAGAAAGTGAGAAAGCAGCCCTCAGAGGGGATGGCCATGATGCAGTCCCTTCTCCATTTCTCCCCCTGGGATTTTGGGCATGCACGCACATGTGCCCAGTATGTTTTTCAAGTTGCCGGTTCTGGGACTTGAACCAGGAAGTCGTCTCTGTGGGATCTAACTGCCTTAACTACCATGCCACTGACTGGCCCAAAACGTAATTTTTCTTAAGAGTATGTACAGTAAGGGCATTAACTTACAACTGATGGTGTTTTAAAATTAAATATAATTTTAGAACCCAAGTTTAGCACTGTTCTCCTCTCCCTCCTTCCCAGTGCTCCTCCTGATTGGCCCCAGGCCACAGTACTCTGACCTAACACATTCGCTTCGTTCCTTAGCCTGGGGTTGCTTCCTGTAGACCTCTTCCGCATGTCTGAAATTGCGCATCTTTCACCTGCTTCTGTTTTTTTTTTTTTTTTTTTTTTAATTTTTTTTTTTAATTTTTATTTTCTACCTTAATTCACTATACACCATCACAACACACCAATGAATTTTCCATCCAAAATACACTG